TCATTCACCTCGAGGAAGAAACTTTCCATAATGTAACGTCTGTCACGACTCTGTAAGTATCCAACTAGTAAGTTTAAATAGTGTTACTAGGATATGTTAATGCTGACCACAACTATGACAACGACAACATCAAGTGTGGAGAAATTAGGCTCTGGATTTCACGTAACTATTTATCATTTTGTTTCTGTTATTTAAATACTTTGGCTTAGTTCACGAGTCAGGGAGCTTTTTATCATTTGTTTATGAAAATATCACTCATAGTTCTCCTCATTCGAATTAATGTTAATGTCCTATAAGACGCATTAAGACGCCTGCATTTCATACACCTTTAAAGCTATTCCATATATCAAGACATCGAAGTTTTGTATTTCGAAAATGCCGTTGTCGTAAATCTCTTAAGCTAGTGACAGTTTTCCCTAAAATATAAACTTGGATTTGCATCATTATCACTATCAACCTTTGATTCTCTGCGCTAGGATAGCCAATGATCTTAGTGCGCAATTTACTCCATTTGTACTCCGTGGATAATAACGTCTCTCAGCGTGTTTCTATTTTTGTTGTTGTTGTTGTTATTGCTGTTGTTCTCGTTTGTTTTAAGTTTTCTTATTTTTGTTTTGTTTATTTTCTTTTCTTTTTGACCTGGTTTCTTGTTTGTTTGTTTTTTTTCTTTTCTTTTCTTCTCAGGAGACTAAATTCCAACTTTTTTCGTACTCTCCCTGTTGGAGCGTTTACTGGCCTTCCTAATCTACTTGTCCTGTGAGTATATCTTTTACAATTTGTTATTTAAAACATTTACCCAAACACCGTCCAGTCCTTCACTGGAGGTGGCGTGGCCTAGTGGTTAGGGTCTCGGGTTCAGATCCTCCTACCTGACGCTCAATAGATTTGTGTTCGGTAGTTCCGAGGTAAACTCTTCCACTTCTTGTAGATACTGTAGGCAACTGGTCTGTCTACAACTAGTTGGGCTTCTTAACAAGTTTCTGTTTATTGACAATACTGGTTTGTTTATTTAAAAAAGCCACAATGCTAACAGCTGGGACACTACTAGTTGTGAGGGTTTTATTTGTAATTCTTCCAAATTCACAGAAATTGGATTGTAAGTTCGAGGAATCCAGGACGCGCGTTTGAAAAGGTCATATTTGAGATATAGTGTACATGTAGGTTGTCTTCGTCAGTTCCATCATTAAAAATTTGCATTGTTATTCTTCCAGCGATTTAGGAATAAACCTTCTTCGCAAAGCTCTCAGTGGATTATTGGATGGACTACCTCATTTACAAGTTTTGTAAGTTATGAAAATTTCATAACTTAGTAATTTTTCCGATTTTGATGGAGGTTATAAGTATAACTGAAATGTTTAAGCGTAAAGTTTGCCTCTTTTTTCAGGAGCTTGCGTTCAAACCAGATAGATGAGTTAGAATATGGGGTTTTTGGTAACAATAGCAACATGACACATCTGTGAGTACATGCGATTTTTTCACCTTTATATAATTTGTGTTCACTTTTATTTGTAAAATCGTTTTATTTAACGGTAGAGCTGTTCAACTGAGTTTAACGAAAAACTCGTTCGTGAAGTACGTTAAATTTATTAGAGGAGGGGCAAAAAAATACGACAAATGTACGAGAGCAATTTTTATTTTATGGCAAGCTCTCCGAGCAGGAAAGATGAATCATATACTGCACTGCGATGGGCTACCCGAGAGGACAAGATGGGGCTATCTTGCATGGTCGGGACTTCCTGCTGTATCCTGCAAGAAGAGCTTGTTCTTTCTGCCATATAATAAATCCTTTATTGGCCAAACTTGTTCGGTCATGATTACTGGATATTGGCCTTCTTCTTTTTTGCCTGTTTATGAACTTCGACAGCGTTTCGGTCCATAACCACGCGTAAAAGAGCTTGACTAATATCCAGCCATCTTGACCTCGCACCTGTCCAATAGCCCATACGTAATCAGTGTCATTAAACGGAAACGTAAATAATCGCTTAGCGAGAAACTCTTATCGTAAATATCGTGTTAAAGCAATCAGACTCGCTCCTTGTGTATATCGCTCAAATGTACCCACCCTAATTACCTTCACATTCCACTCTGAACGTAAGACATCTCTTTACTGTCACTTAGATACCTTCAGGATAACAAGCTTCCAGTATTACCAGATGGCCTGTTTGGTGCTATGTCACAACTGACGTTATTGTAAGTGCATTAAGTTTAATTCATCCTAGACTAAATACTGTTGTTTTCAGGGTTCCCTCCATTTCTGTTGGTTGGGTACGATTTTAATGTCTCTAAGTTGGCGAGATGAGGTGTGGTGGAATGTATTATTTCCCAGTGCCTGTGGTGTTCGACATGTACATGAGGCGATTAGCTCAGTTAGTAGCAGGGTCTGTTTTTCTGTGTAACTGCCTTCTAATTTTCATGGCTCAATGTTGTCCTTCCCCCAGGAATCTGAGCAGCAACGAGCTGACTACAGTTACAAAGGACACTTTTAAAGGACTGGTCTCCTTAGAATACCTGTAAGTACATGATAATTCGATAATTTTCACAATGAAAAGTTTAGAGTCAAAAATAGACCATTTAACAGTTGTTTGCTCGGTGACCTGTCCTTTGAATGGCAGCGAGGCTGGAGGTGACGACCTTGCTTTGATAAAGACCCCTCTACTTTTGTCATGTAAATGCATCTAGTTGGCATTAGCACAACTTTATTTACACAAGAAAAGCAGTGATGTCTGTATCAAAACAAGGTCACCTCCAGCCTCGCTGCCATCCAAAGGCCAGGTCACTGAGCAGACAACTGTAAAATTGTCTATTGTGCTGACCAGATCAACCAAAAGGTATAAGTTTAGTCTTGCTTCTTTCTTTTATGGTTGCCAAAACATTACTAGAACATAAAATACTCACAGAATAATCGAAACATGGTAACAGTTCATAGGAATTTTAATTGCAAAGATGATCGGTCGGAGGTTTAGAACTAAGGAAAAAGCAACAAAGAGAATCGAGACTGATATTTCGTTGTTACCATCCAGTGTACAAATAATATGGACACATCAGTTTCCCTCAGTACTTCAAAATCTCTATTTTTTTCACTTGCTTTTGTTATTCTGCACTTCTTTTGGTTTTAGGACCTGTATTGTTTGCGTCATTTTTCCGTGGGTTGGTTGGCCAATTGTAAAGACATTTGTAAAAATTGCGGTACAAGAGCCAAATCCTGGACCCCTGAAATAAAATTTTAAAAAAATGATTTCCTTGAGAAAAACAATGCGCACAATATAAGTTATAATTGGCTTCTATGTAGCTCATTGAATCCATATACTGACGTATATATAATAAAATTGTATTGGTACATCGTAACTATTTTTTTTTCCTTCTTAGCAATTAGCTATGTAAATAAATGATGGAATATTCATTTAGGTAACTTTGGAATGTAGTATAATTAATTGTAATGTAATGTATCGCAAGCGATATGGTGTAGGTAAATGTCCTGTTAATAGATTATTTTTAAAATGTTAAAAAATATATTTCAGAAACGTCAGTAACGTTACGTTTTATTGGCCTTCTCATCATCTTTCCACACAGGTACCTGGACAGTAATAAACTCGCTAAAGTACCTTCAGATGCGTTTAGTGAACTGAGCAACCTGAAATATCTGTGAGTAACCTTTATTTTTCACCTCAATTTAGTTTATTTTTATCCCTTTACCCTTTCAGTACCAACAAATTAACTTACTTGCAGTGCTAGGTAAAGTCTGCAAACGAACTAAGTGGCCAGTCAGGCCGGAGCTTATCCTGGTTTCTTTAGCATAAAGTGACTAGGAGTATTTCTACCACCCCCAAGACGGGATGCTTGTCCATCACAGGGCTACCCAATTTAATTCGCCGGTACCCATTTATACACCTGGGTGTTGTGTTCTTGCCCAAGAACCCAACACAATGTCCCCGGCCAAGGCTCAAATCTGCACCGCTTGATCCGGAGGCGAGCGCGCTAACCATGAGGCCACCGCGCCTCACACGTTGGAGTGGTACGTCAACAAAAATAGTCCTGTTGCAGATTTCGTTTCTCAGCTTACGCTAAAAAACGTTCCAGTGTATTCCGTTGACGTGAAATATACCTGATTATTAAAACTAATATTGAAATGAAAGTACCGCCAGCTGTTATGTGGAGTATCAAACCCAAAGGAGTAGAGTAAATTGATGTTTCTTGCAATACTCATACAGGAAACTCGATCGCTTCATCCTCTGCTGCTACGCCAGGAAATCAATCGAAGGAGTGGACTGTGAGTCTCCAGTCGATGACTTCTCAAGCTGCGACGATCTCATGAAAAACGAAACTCTCCAGATTTGTATTTGGATTCTTGGAATCCTCGCCTTCCTTGGTAACCTTCTTGTCATAATATGGCGGATCATTGATAAGGAAGAGAACAAGGTGCATTCCTTTTTGCTGACAAATTTGGCAGTCGCCGACATGCTTATGGGAGTGTATCTTTTGACAATCGCCATTATGGACGTCAGATGGCAAGGGGAATACTTTAAGCATGACGAAGAATGGAGATCTGGACTGGGTTGCCAAATTGTCGGAGTTCTTTCGATGCTCTCTAGTGAAGTATCCGTTCTGATTCTAACCATCATCACGATGGACAGATTTCTTTGTATCGTCTTTCCTTTCAAGTTCAAGCGCCTCACATACAAAGCTGCCGTTTACGCATGCGTTGGGGTGTGGATATTCGGTGTCGTCATATCTACAATTCCAATCGCAGGTTTAAACTACTTTTACGACGACAGCGGTAATTTTGGATTCTACAGCCGCTCTGCCGTTTGCCTTCCTCTTCAGCTGTCCGAAGGGAGACAGGCCGGGTGGGAATATTCTGTCGCCTTTTTCGTCGGATTGAACTTCGTCTCTTTCATGTTTATCCTCGTCGCCTACATTACAATGTTCTGGACGGTAAAGCGCGTTTCCCGCGCTGTGCGATCAACAAATTTAAGCAAAGAATCCGCCATGGCCAAGCGGCTTGTCTTCATTGTGATGACAGACTTTTGCTGTTGGATGCCAATAATTATAATCAACATATTATCTCTCACTGGACATTTTGACGATCCAGACAAAATTGCCTATGTGTGGATAGCAGTCTTTGTTCTTCCACTTAACTCGTCCCTCAATCCAATTCTGTACACATTTTCCACCGAAAGGGCAAAGCGAAGCTTGTGTCGGAAGAGAAAAAACGTCACTGGGTTTGTTATGAAGACGGTAAACGGCCGAGGGGCAGGTAGGTTGAACCAGTTCTTCAAAGAGTACGCGTAAAAAAGTGAAAGCTGTATTTATTTCATGTAATGGATATAACTAAATAGCTCCTTTGTTAATGCTTTGTTGTTTATAACTAAGCAAGTTTATTGTTTTACCGGTTAGTCATAATTTTTCACATTTCACAAGCAGTAAAAGGAAAACGTATGTCCTTGTTAGCAAGTTCGAGTATTCTACACTGAACTGCTAACAAATGAGTTGGTGACAATATGGTCCATTCATTAGACTTGCAGTTATTCCTCCGAGCAACGGATCGGGGCAAGCTCACAATCTTGACTAGCATAGATTTTTGCGATCTCTGTTTCCTCCTTGGTTTTAATTCTGATTGAGAAGATATATCAAACACTCAAGACAGTGTTTAACCACATTTCCAAACACTTCGACGTTCTCTCCTCTGTGTATGGAAATGTGCTCAAACACGGTCTTTCGTGTTACTTTGATATATTACTTGAAGGGTCAGAGTGTCGCAGCATTGTTGACCGCAGGAAAGAGAGGAATAAATTGTCACGGTACAACAACATCGGTGGAAAGAAAGTCCACCACACTAGATTGTTTGAGGGAATTTCGTTTAAGGAGAGACAATTGCTTGTCAGTTCTATCTTAATTAGAGGTCTTTGTTAACAATTTTAAAGGACTTTTGCTTTTCTTTATCCCTTTGAATTAAGCTGAAAATCAGTCCGTTGATTGGCTGAAAGCCCATGGCGACAACACTTGCGTATCCAACGTCAGCTCCAGTCCTTTGCAATTACATAAAGTAGCGGGAACACAGGAACAAGGGAGCAAACAGGCACATGCCGAGCTGAGGCTGATTGAAGAAGTTAACATTCTGAAAGACGACACCGCAGGAAGGCGTGCAACAGTAAGTGATAAGTAATAAGTAAGTAATGATTTATTTAACGTCGTGACACAGGGAGTGTTTGGCCATTCTCGCGAGCAGCTGCTCATGATATAACAGCTCGATACAAAAAAACAAATTAAAAGAGAAAACTTCTTAGGTGCCTGAGGGAACATTATTCGCGGGAATTAAGACTTGCAAAATAGTAGGACTTGGAAAACAACACAGTTATACTACACTGCAACACAAATTCAGCATGAAGCGGAGGAATTATATAAAGAAATAGATAATTCAATCAATCAATCAATAAATAAATGTTAAACATTAAAATGAATATTGAGATAAATCCATTGAGAACTTTCAAAGCCATTGTCTTACTCGTTGTTTCAGGGTTATGCTACAGCTTGGTGTGAAGAAGGGAACATTTTAAGTATGGTGTTACTGAAATACTTTGACAAAGAATTGAAAGAGGAATGGCATCGAGAGGCTAACATAGTACAGGGCCTGTCTTGTGATGAAGAGCCGCATGCCAATCTACTTCATTATCGCTGGCACTCGAAAGGCAAGCAACCGTCTAGCAAAAAAAAAAAAA